CCATGAGGTAATTGCACTTCCAAATTCACAAACTTGACCCTTTGACCCATTATCTTGAGGTAATTGCACTTCCTAAATCACAAACTTGACCCTCTGACCCATTATCATGAGATAATTGCACTTCTTAAATCACAAACTTGACCCTTTGGCCCATTATCACAAGATAATTGCACTTCCTAAATCACAAACTTGACCCTTTGACCCATTATCATGAGATAATTGCACTTCCTAAATCACAAACTTGACCCTCTGACCCATTATCATGAGGTAATTTCACTTCTTAAATCACAACCTTGACCTTCTGACCCATTATCATGAGATAATTACACTTCCTAAATCACAAACTTGACCCTTCGGCCCATTATCATGAGGTAATTGCACTTCCTAAATCACAAACTTGACCCTTTGACCCATTATCATGAGGTAATTTCACTTCTTAAATCACAAACTTGACCCTTCGGCCCATTATCATGAGGTAATTTCACTTCTTAAATCACAAACTTGACCCTCTGACCCATTATCATGAGATAATTGCACTTCCTAAATCACAAACTTGACCCTTTGACCCATTATCATGAGGTAATTTCACTTCTTAAATCACAAACTTGACCCTTTGACCCATTATCATGAGATAATTGCACTTCCTAAATCACAAACTTTACCCTCAATATACAATTATTGTCACTTTCTCAGAGCATCAATGGCAATTTTTAAACCTCGTGCCTTTAAAGAAAATTTAACAAAGAACACAAGTACTGCATCAGTTACAATGCTTACAACACAACTATACTGTTGGCAAGTATTGAAACACATTTGAGGCCACAGTAAAACGTAGTATGACATGCTGAATTAACTCACCTCCAATGTCTAAACATTCTAACTTTGGACATTTACTTGCCAACTCACAAAGACCAGTGCACCTAATGGCATCACAATCAACCTTCCAAGATAAAAAAAAGCAGCCACTCGGCTGAGAATAGCTCCGCTGTTAGCACATTTCAATTAAATAACTGAAGATATCACTAGAAAATGAACAAATCTGAGAGAGGTCTACATGTAGTACCTATATATATAATATCAAAGCAATTGTTGCATATACACCAGGTATCAAAATAATAAGAATTGTGGTTATCAAGAAGTCGAAAAGGTAAAAATTTGAGACGGACAATGACGGACGACGACGACGACGACGGACAATCACTCATATGATAAGCCTCGCTCGACAAAGTCGACAGCGGAGCTAAAAATTTGTAAAAACTTATTTTTTTCATTTAAAGGAAATTGTACAGGTACATTACATACAATGTACATTGTAATGACACAAACACTGAGAAAACAGAATCTACAGCTTCTATACATACATTTGTATAGTGAATTCTTTTGTAAATTACTTGGTGTACATTGGTGTACAGGTGCCACAAAACCACACACACATCATGTCTTTCCATTTCTTCACAAAGATAGGGACTGTTTTATTTTTACCAAGATGTTGAATTCAATTTTCCTCACACAACTGATATCTGACCTTATTTACTGATGGAAATCCTTCCTTAAGCTTACAAGTGTAACTATTTCTTTTTAAAATTTAAAATATGATTCAAAATTGGCCCATATCACCAATCAATGTGCCTCGTGCGATTCTGTCACACCCATTCAACAAAAATGCAAATATTTGTGTTGATGCGCTTGATATCATGTTGATCGACATTGATTAGGTTGATAATATAATAAAAATTTAAATCAGTGATATAACAATTTGCATTTTAGCCATAAGTGTTAGGTTGCACATTTTTCAATACTGCAAAACACTTTTTAAACCTAGACGTGTCCATGTTCATATTACATGCAGCAATAGCATTATATACCAAATAATTGCATTACATAATCCTCCGAGTTCTCAAATTTGAGAAATAAAAATTAACCAGATGTACTAATAGTATAATATGTACATGCATGTTAAGTTTTATTTTATTGGAACTTTTCAGATCAATTTACAATAGTAGTAAAAATAATCTAATTTTCTTAAGTTGGTCATATTGCATACAATTGTAAAAGAATAATGAATGTGTATGCTGTAAGTGTAATGTTATATGTCTGTGTCAATTTTGGATCAAATCAGCCAATGCATAATAAGTTAGATACAGTGGTTACAGATGGATGGACAGACGCACACCAATCACTAACAGGAACTAACAAGGTTTCCTGCTGTAACTTACCAGAGCCAGATGATTCAAGTCAGGAGAATTTGAAATGATCCAATCCAGTGTAGAATTTTTCAGCATGGGCCACGATATGCAGAACTTCTTTAAGCTTCTATTGGCTGAGAAGAAATCTTGAAGACAGGCATCCCCAATATGGTTATCAAACGTGATGTTACTGATATCTAATGAAGTCAAGTTTGGTTGAAATAATTGTGTCCTTTCTACTGCCTCTTTAGTCTTGCCATCTTCACGTCGTTTACAAAACTTAATTTGACCAGCCAAAGACAGATCACTGATCTTAATCCCACATGCTCTCAATTTTTTTATTGTGGCTCGGTCTTTTTCTTCATCGGTCATCTTCTTCAGAGATTCAAGATTATCCTGCTCCATTTTATCATCGTCTCCACCCTCTGCAAGATTACCACTGTTTAGTTTAACAGCTGACTGGCTCCCTTCAAGCTCCACATTTATATCATTTAAACTATGGGCAAGGTACTCATTCATAGGATCAGTGTCAACTTCACTATATTGGTCAGTTTTGTTTTCTTCAGTGCTCTGACCGTTGCTATGGTCACCTTCTCCATCACTATCATCTTTGCTATTCTGTTTAGTGATTTTTTCCTCTAGCATCTTTTTATGTCTAATGAGATCAGATACAATCCTTTCATCGTCTACTTCTCTGTCCAATACCTCCCCGTCCTGCGACACGGCGAGCTGCACTGCTGTGGCCAGATTGTATCCTGCTAAATACCACAGAATACTACAATCCATCTAATAAAGAAACAGAAATATCAAATTATAACAATTAAAAGATTAAAATCATAAAGTAAAACCTGGATTCATATTGTAACTAATACACATTTACTCAATTGAACTAAGTTAAGTTTAATCTGCACTCTATATAAATATATTTCTCCACTGAGTTCTAGGTCCATCCATGAAATTATTTCCTAGCATTGTAATTCTCACTACAGGTAATTGGGCTATACAGATTCTTCACTCAGCGATTTAAAATGTTTCAGCATGTGAAATGAGTCATTTTAATAAGTCAACATTTGAAACATATTATTACAAATGTCAAAATTACATACTGTATTTGTATATAACAGTATATAACAGTGACTATGTTAAAATGGGATGAGGAAATTACTTATTTGAGTGTAAAATGATGACATACCTCAGTCCATGATGCATTGAAGGTCTGCAAGTGTGATCCAAATAATTGTGCAATGTATCGTACACAGGTATTGGTCAATGATTTACATCCAGATATATTAATAGATGCTAGATTACATGCTGCTGAACACGGACTATCTCTCTTCTTTTTTGGAGAGCGCTTTGGAGAAAATCTTGTCTCGCTTGTTTTGATGTGAAACGCATTGTCTGTTATTTCAGTCGAGGCAATGTCGAGATGTTTCAATGTTGCACAGTGAAGAAGAATCAGCTGGAATTAAGTACTAATATTATATATCTGCCATGTTACAAGTAAAATAGTTAGAATGGTTGTAGAGTTGGACAAACTATACAAACCAACTATGATGCAGTACAACAAACACTGTACACTATCATATCTATACTCGCCTGTATCATATTTACAACTCGCATGAATAGCTATATCTTGCCTGTACCATATCTATAACTCAATTTTTTTATAACTCGCATGTATATTTAATTATATCTCACCTGTGCCATATAACTCACTTATATCTATAACATTAACTTGCCTTAATCATACATGCAACTCACCTGTGTATCTATAATTTATTTGTATATCTATAACTCCCCTGTACCATATTTATAACTCACTTTATAACTCGCATGTATATTTAATTATATCTCACATGTACCATATCAATAACTCACCTGTGCCATATAACTCACTTATATCTATAACATTAACTCGCTTTAATCATACATGCAACTCACCTGTGTATCTATAATTTGTTTGTATATCTATAACTCCCCTGTACCATATTTATAACTCACTTTATAACTCGCATGTATATTTAATTATATCTCACATGTACCACATCAATAACTCACCTGTGCCATATAACTCACTTATATCTATAAAATTAACTCGCCTCAATCATACATGCAACTCGCCTGTATATCTATAATTTGTTTGTATCGTATCTATAACTCACCTGTATCATGGCATCAGTTACAGAACTACAGCTCACCATTGACAATGACGTCAAACATGGCAGTGTTCTGCATATTATAAGACACATTTCTAGAGTCACCAGGCGTTCATCATCTTCATCTACTGCCAGGATTTGTATCTTATGGCATCTAATGACAGCAATTACGATAGCAAATATAATGTGCTGGATTACTCTATATAACTGGAAATTATTTATACCTATCAATCAATGCAGGTTATTTCATTTTACAGATTTGTCATGAATTACACCACATGTAAAAATTACATACCACCGCAGGGTTACAGCCAGAAAATAAAAAAGTATCTGTGTAAAATCTATATTGAAATGCAAAATAATATTTGCTGGTCTGGAGCCAGTAGTAGTCTATTTTCAATCAAAAGTTGATATGTTTGTTTAAATTTAGCCCATCTAAAATGACAGGCAGATAGGTGGCTCACTAAAAGCCTGCACCACAAATAAAGATGACATGTACGCAAACAGACAACCAAATTTGTGAATACATTGTGTTGATTGGCTGGTTGCAAAAAGAGTAGCTAAAACCACACTTACTTTTCCAAAGTTTTCTTTATCTTGTATATGTTTTGAAGACTTGAACATCGTTTTATACCTAATTCCTTTATATGTGGCGGAGCCATTACAAAAAGTAATTCCTCACTTAATATGTTTGGGTATGTATCGATGAATTCATTGAGGATATCTTCACTGATTGGATTGAAAATGCCAGTCTCTAGTTGTTTAATTAACACATTAGCTTTATCACGGTATTTTTTTATTTTGTCATTATGGTCAATCAGAGTTTGAATAACAATCTTTTTTGACAGGAAACATAGCGACATAACACTCATCTTTACAGCAGTTTCTGAACCCTTCAACTTTGACTTCAGTACTGTGAAACAATAATATTATGAGATATATTAATCATTTGAATAAAGCACTCTGTGATTGGGTTGGTCTATTAGATATAGAACTAACATCATCATAAAAAGTTGTTTTGCATTTGAAACAGTGTGGACAATTCGAACAGATGACAAACATATTTTGAACAAAAACTACACTATTTCAGTCAGTCTTGTGACTGGTAGCTTCTCAGCCCAGTTTGCCCTCATAGGAGGAGTGAGTATTTGCATATATATATGAGTATATATGAGTATATATGAGTATATATGAGTATGTATGAATATGTATGAGTATGTATGAATATGTATGAGTATATATGAGTATATATGAGTATATATGAGTATGTATGAATATATATGAGTATTTGCGCGTGCGCGCGCGTGCGTGCGTGCGCGTGCGCGTGCGTGTGCGTGTGTGTGCGTGCGTTGTTTAGAAGTGCTAATTTTTGGTACTGTACATGTCTAACTGTGGTTGTGAATTTGTTTCAGACAGCAAGCCATCAATTGGCCGACAATAAAACTGTGTAGCAAAAATAGTGACTTCAAATATAATGACACTGGCTCCCTGAAAGCAACATCGTTTTCTACACAGCTGTATTGTCAGTCATTTAGGCGATTGATGGTTTGGTGTACGAAACAAATTTACAGCCATGCAAGATATGCATTTTTTTTCATCTCTAGTACTGTGACTGGATTCAAACCAGTGCATTGTCTATTCCTCATTCCTTTGTACAACAAGGATACAAGAAACATATACAGAGTAGCGTACGTTGTCACAAGGCCTCTCCTGTATTCATATTTGAATGAACCGACAACACAGCATTTTGACACAACTTTTACAATATACGAAATTCAAATATTCGTGTAATGAAAATGTCAAAACTACTCATCAAAAGTTGCGTGGTTTTCATGTTATTTACATTTCTGTTTCACAAGTCCCCTCCAGGCCTCCCTCGCTTGACACATTATTGTACATGTAAAAACAATACGATTTCATAAACAATCTAGTGACTCTGCTAAACACAACACAGACAACTCTAGTACCAATCACAGACGCTCGGAACGTTTCTTGGATAATAAAATAGACCTAAAGTAAGGTTGGTATACTAGGTCATTATATGAGTGGTCGGCAAATGTACCGACGACTGACTAAGTATACCGACCTTACTTTAGGTCCAATAAACGT